AATTTTCACTCCATGTCAATACCCGAAGAAATGCCCTGCATGCAATGCCAAATGAACTTGAGAATGAATAACAGGTATAGGATTTTACCGCGTCAGCGCGTGTCTGGCTGCTGCAACATCACCCCACATCACGCGCTGGCGCATGTTTGGCTCCTTGCTGATAACAAAACGTCACGCAATATCGCATGACTGGCAGTCAATGTATCAAAATTTTTAACCGGCTGTTACACCTGCATAATGCCCTAATAATATAGAAAAATAGTCGAAAGTGTTCGGCGACAACGGCTTTGAAAAGTTTTTTGGATCGAGAAGTGATATGTCTTTATACAACTTCCTATGCCCTTTAAACCTACTTTCCATCGATTAAATAGCTTTATTAAATATAAAATTAAAGACGATAACTTTGAATTGTTTGATAGAGCAATTGAAATTATAGTCGACCGATTCCTCATCGTCCATTTGTTTCACTTTTTGTTATCTTCTAACAGGTAGCTCTTCTTTTATAAATATATCACAACCCAGCCTTTCTAGTTTATTATTGCTATCCGTTGCAAACAATTTTGATGCATTAAATATTAAATTGAAGTTTCTAGAAATGGTTTCTAAAGAGCGTGCAGACTCCCTAATTATATTATACGCTAGTATGTAATCTAGTCCTTTAGTTTGCAAATATTTCATTACTGGCTCAGTACATTGAAATATTTTTAAATATACAGGAGCAGACAAAATTATCCAAATTATTCTAGAAGTTGATATTTTATCCAGAACAGATTTTGCCATTTGTCGTATCTGAGCATTTGGTATACCAATGGAAGATATACTTTTCAGAGAAAGTATTAATTCTACGCACATACCCTCCCTCGCAGGGCTGCCTCGTCGAGTCATCTGTGTCAATTCGATTGTTCGAATTTCTCGATCGGCCCGAAACCGCACCAGCCCACTGGCCTTATACACCACTGAATCTTATGGATATCTAAAGTATGAAGGAATAGGTGAAAAACATGTTTTGCCCCCTACCCCCTTGGGGGCTGAATTCTCAAGGGTAGGGGGTCCTTGGGGGGCCCGAACTTCTGAAACTTGTTTTTAGGTATTCACGTTCCATACATTTTAAAGCAAGACTCGCTCTAGTGTAGAACTGAGTGCCCCTTCAATTAGAGACAATTTTTTTAAAATTTTTGCGATGAAACCTCACTTCTGGTTACTATGATAGTTTTAACTTTGTTTTAGCTTCCTGATTTTATTTAAACGAAAATAGATTGACTTGTACATTGACATATTTGAGGCTGCGCAATGCCTAGTTTGTGCAATTTTAGGATTTTTTTTTAAGTGAAAACAGATCGACGTGTACATGGACACAGAGTTTGTGCAATTCTTTGACATCTTATTTTGGTTTTGTGTAGCGGTCATCTTGAAATTGTGCCTTCCTGGCGCCAATAAAGAATCGCCAAGAAACAAGGGGCACCAAATTGAAAACTTTTACTGCAAGACTCTTGTGTACATCTGTTTCTTCCTCATATGAAAAACATGTTTTGCCCTCTCCCCCCCTTGGGTGCTGAATTTTCAAAAATCTCTTTATAGATGAATGAACGAATAAATATCGCGAATTCTTTTATATATAGATTTATAATTAAACAACTAAACAAAACGGTTCAAAAGGGAAAACACAAATCAAAATAATATATTATTTGACAGAAAATGAGAAACAACCAAAAATCAATATCAAACATGTAAATATGTATCCGAATTAAAAAGGAAAAATACTGTAGAAAAACTAATAAAAGAAATTTATTTGCACTGAGTAATGCGCACCACGCTCGTAACTTAATGGCATGGCGTCGGTGTCAGCTGATTCCTTTCTGCATGCCGAGGTCCTTGACATAAACACGCTGTGCATGAATCTGCACAAATGATCAGGGAGGAATCAGGAGGAAACTAGCATCTGAGGGGCTAGACGCTTGTGGGAGGAACCGGGAGGAAACTAGCGTCTGAGATTGGCGGCTAAAACCCGCTGGGAACTGGAGAAATTCAACCAATCAGAGAGTACCATTGCGCCAGGATCTTTTGGCATCCTTTTCCGATCGCCAAACGCAATTTTTTTGCAAAACTGGTATACAAGAACGTACTTATTAATTTTATGGTAACTTGTTTGTACTTCTTGGGTAGAAAGTAGTTCCATTTGTTTTGATATGCTAATATAATTTAATATAAAATTTAAAGTAGGGGCGAAAAGTGAAGTATGTAAATCTCAATTTCGAAAACAAATACAACTTTATATTCTACTCAGTTTGCTGTCTCGATACCGAAAACTTTTTGATACATCTTTAAATAAAGGGTAACAATAATAATTGATAAAAATTACTGTATATACAATGATTATTCAGAGAATCTATGTATTAAAATGCTGATGTGGGATAACCCAGTGACCATAATCAGGTCATCTAGTAACCCACCCCAAAAAAAAATAATAATTGAGAAATTAACACAAAATTTGTTTATGCATTATTCTCCATCTAAATAATTCTATTTCATTTCATTGTGTTAATGTAAAAATAAAGATGTAATTTTTAAAGTCTTACAGCATTAACACAATCAAGTAATTTTTATTCATGACGAATCTGTGGAGTATTTTACATTGTATGTATTGCTATGTTCATTATTTTCTATCATTGTCAAGACTTTTCTGAATAATCTGCCGAAATTTATCGTCTTAACTAGTCTCCAGAGTTTGGAATTATATATTAGGAAATCACACAGTCTTTAATCTGCAATTTTAATTTCATTTGCTTATGATTTCAGATGTCATCCCTAGCAGAAATTCTGTATAAGTTTTCGAAGTACCATGAATTTTCTTTTTCTGTATAAATAAAATATTCCAACAACAGCTACTACCATTGGATGCCTCTAATTTTTATTTTGTAAGGAGCAACAAATTGTGTACTGTAGCCTACACATCTGCTGCCTATTTTCCTATAGTTTGCTATTATTTCTGATTGTAGAATTGTGGTGAGTTTTCATAATTCTGTATTTTTTCGGTAGAAATGTGAATATGAAAAACTAAATAGCTTGTTTTTTGATAAATAAATTTTTTGCAGTCTTAAACCAGAACATACATAAAAATATTTTAGTTGATAAAAGATTGTATAAGTTTTTTTTAAATTTTTTTAATTATTATTATTATTATTAAGCTTTGTATTAATGGTAGTAAATGAGAATGTTTTCTTATTTGCTTAATCATTATTGCAAAGCATGAAAACAGTATCTTTTGAGGGTAGAAAACTTTCATGAAGTATATTTAAAAGAAATTACTTCTGTACATGTGACACATGAGAAATATCCCATGCAGCTAGCCTGTTCACCAGCGTTCAAACTATCAGTGCTCCTTAGTCTTATCCATTTGATTACTAATGAATACTAATTATGGAAGATGGTAACAATTCTTCTCAGTGTGAAAATTTTGTGACCATTTTATAGAAGGTTTCTCACTATAGTCTGCTCCGGAATCTCCGGATGAAGTTATCATTACATGATATATAATTGTTTTTCTTCATATCGAAACTAATTTGGGAACTGCAATTTTTTTTTTTTTTGGGGGGGGGGGGTAATTGTTTCTAGTAGCAGAATAATTGTACAAAAAGGACTGTTTATAATTGTATTCTCTAAGCAGGTTTAATATATTAACATCATTCAGTTTATTATATTGTCATATAAGAGTCAAATATGGCTTTAAAACAAATGGGTGGTATCTGAATATAAGTACGCATTTAATTACATAAATTAACATTCATTTATTGTTTTACAATGGTTTACATTAATGTTATGTTTACCCAATATCTAACACATTAAACAACAAGTCTATTTTGCTTGGTTTAAGGTTGGTTCCAAGGGGCCAATGCTATATTTAATGTGTAAGGAAATTACTGATGCAAATGTTAAATTGATAAAAACAACTTATTTGTACATAGAAAACAAAAACAAAAAACAAAAAAAAAAAAAAAAAAAAAAAACTGAAATTTTCAACTTCAAGTTATATTTTACGATTATGCTTATGATCCATGTGCAAAAAATATTTTAAAATATAGTATTAAAAAGTTAAAATTTACAAAGTTTAAGAATTTATAAAAAAGATGTTTTGGACGATATATATTAAATTGTAATTTATCAACCTAACTAAAATTTTGATTAAAATATCTTGTGGTTTGAACTATTAAAATATTAACAAAGCAAACACTTTATTTTATAAAATCAGAATACCAAATTATAATTCAATGTTTTAATTTTTATACAAACAGAAAAAAAAAATAAATAAATAACTGTGCATGAAATAAATATCATGGAAATTACAATATATATTAAATTGTAATTTATCAACCAAACTAAAATTTTGATTAAAATATCTTGTGGTTTGAACTATTAAAATATTAACAAAGCAAACACTTTATTTTATAAAATCAGAATACCAAATTATAATTCAATGTTTTAATTTTTATAAAAACAGAAAAAATAAATAAATAAATAACTGTGCATGAAATAAATATCATGGAAATTACAATAGCAAATAAAATTCATGATATGCACTATTTGTTCCGGAGGTTGCCACTCACTATTTTCTCCTCTCACCTCAGTTGATCATTTGAAAGGTTTTAAGAACCAAGCACAGATTTTTTAAGATTAACACATTAGAACATTTAAGCAGAGATTAACACATTAGAACGAATCAAACACATGCTTAAAACTTTTTGTTCTACATGTAAATAAAATTACGGATTTAAAATAATTACAAAAAAGTCATTTTAATTAATAAAACTTAACACTGTAAATATAAAAACTTTTAAAAATAAATACTACTATTCCTTATCAATAAAGAATTCACACTCATTTTCCGCTGAACTGCTAAACTTAAACTAAGCTTGAAAAAGTACATTTTTAACGGCATTCAAATAATGCATTAAAGAACATAATATACAAAATGCATGTAATATGATAGAAAAATAATTTCATACCATGTTTGCCAGAAATATCTTCACTGTGTGTATCAACATCCATTTTGACTGGAAAAAAAATTACATTTTTAATTATTGTGATTTAAAGTAAACATGAGAAGCTTTAATTTATCATTAATTATTGTGATCTAGAGTAAGGATGAGAAGCTTTAATTTGTCAAAGTACTTTTAAACTCTAAGATTGCATTATATTGGATTATTTGATTATGGCAAAGTACTCAAGGGGTAACTGTGTAAGATGAGGGATGCCTTCATGGAGGACTTTCTAAGAGAAACTGGCTCATATACACATTAAATATAGAAGAAAACCTTAAAAACACCCATGAAGCTGACCCATTTGTCAGAATTCGAACTTTGGGCCGAAGTACCAGTGTTCTGCGACTTTACCGTTCGACCACTTGCAGGCCTTTAAATTCAAGGGAAAATTTAGTAATTAATGTGCCTAGTATTGTGAGCATAAACTTAATAATGTACTACAGATTTATGAAAAGCAAAATTAGATACTGACATATTAACAATAAAACTTTAGCTTAATTCGGCAGTTTTTTACTGATGAAAAGCTAAAAGTTACTTGTTGGGTGTATCTTGATGATTTTGGAACTTTTAAAAAACATTCCTAAGCTACTGATGTTTATCCCAAGTTGACAAACATCATTAACATATCAAAATGAAATGCATTTTAAAATTTAAAATACAAATTTTAATTATTAAATATGGATTATATGATAAATTACAAAAATCAAACACGTAAGCTTTTTGCAAAATCCTTCTGTAATTTCTTTTTTTGCTGTTCTCATATACACAGCGATCTGTTTTCATAAAAAAAAAAAAAAAAAAAAAAAAAAAAAAAAAAAAAAAAAAAAACAAATGCTTGCACAAACTCAGTTTCAGACACAAGTTTGTGATTTCGCACAGGCCTACCAAAAGCATCTCATCACTGTACCCTTTAGCGATTTTGTAGCAAATTACTGTATTTGTGCAGAACTATTTCTGTAGTTTCTACCATTTTTGACAAATTCTAAGAGCGCATACTTTAAAATTGTCTTTAAGGTAAAAACATCATGATTTGTGCGTGAAAACCATTGGAACCTGGAATATAGCAAAAAGAAAAGAACACATACAAAAATAGCAATGTGGATTGCTATGAGCATGATTGCCTAGAGAATGCTTATGATTGTGGTTTTGCACATTCTGTCACATCTTGACAGAAGTTTGGCACATTCTGAAAATTTGATGACTTTCTACTAAGGTGGTTGCAATAATGTGTAAGCACCCGAAACTAAATGCTTACAGTAATTGAATAAACACTGGATGAATCTTCATAAAGAATTTTACAAAATTCTACAGTTAAGAAAGTTCCGCTTAAATAAAATTTAACAAGATTATGTGGAAAATCACTATGGGATGTAATTTGCACAATTTAAATTTCATTACTCCAAAAAATTTTAATCATAGTTCAAAAGTAATTTCTTTTACACTGCTCGATATTGAAAATGCAACACCAAGAAAAAGTGGTGTGAGGAAATTTGTAACACGCGTTTATATAACAGGAGAACGGAGTAGCAGCTTACACTGGTGTGTTGAAATAATGTTTTCCTTATTTGTAGTTGCATTGTGGAAAACAGGCGATACCTAGAGCCACCCAATTTTACACACTGGAAATTTTATACTTAAATATCAGCAGAATTTGGAATTCGGGTTCTTTTTCTTAAATTTTATGTTCTGTGCAAATTTATTGAATTTTTGTTTAATAAACTCGGTGAATTAAAAATATGTGTTGCCTTTGCTGGAAATGAAACACATTTATCTTCGGTGCGAAACTTTGATGCCATTCGGCAAAATGTAAAAATCTGAAAATAAAATTTTTGCATTAAATACTTAAGAGCAGGTACTTGCAACTTTGACAGGACTAAGGGCCATTCAGAAATGATAAATTTTCCACGGGTCGGATTTAGGATTTATTTACACTGCTCGACATTGAAAATGCAACACCAAGAAGGCGTGGTCAGAAAGTGATGAAATTTGGAAAAAAGACAGAGACAGCAAGCAGCAATAAGTGATCTTTATTTCAAAATGATAGTCCGAATACAGAGCGAGAACGGCGTCGGCTCAGTAGGATGTCGGACAAACGTGGACAGCAATGCACGAAGAACACGTCTAGGCATGGAGTCAATAAAGAGTGTGGATGGTGTCCTGAGGGATGGCTCTACATTCGCTTTCAACCATTTGCCACAGTTCGTCTTCAGAATGAAGCAGGGGCAGAGTCTGCAAACACCGTCCAATCACATCCCAAACGTGTTCGATTGGTGACAGGTCAGGAGAGTACGTTGGCCAGGGAAGCATCTGTATACCTTGCAGAGCATGTTGGCAGGATGCGAGCACTGTGTGGTCAGGCGTTACCCTGCTGAAAAATTGCATTAGACAGCCCCTGAAGGTAGGGGATTGCCACAGGCCGCAGTACATTATCCAAGTATCATTGGGCCGTCATAGTGCCCTGAATACAAACTGGAGGTGACCTGGAATCGTAGGCAATAACGCCCCAAACCATTATGCCACGTTGTTGCACGGTGGGGTGTTCCACAGTTACTGCCGGATTAGATCTGTCTCCACATCGACGGCACACATGTTTGCGGCACCTGTCACTGGATAAACAGAAGCGTGACTCATCTGAGAACACGACGTTTCGCCATTCTGTCATCCACATCGCTCCAGTCTGGCACCATTCTAAACGTTGGTGTCTATACTGTGGCGTCAATTGCAGTCTTTTTAGCGGACGTTGTGAGTGCAGGCCACGTTTAACCAATCGACGGGAAATGGTTCTGGTTGGCACGGAAACATCCAGAGTATCTTGCGCATGCTGCAGAATCGCGGTACAAGTGACTTGCGGGACCACCACAGCTTGTCGGCGGATATGTCGATTTGACATGCGTGCTGACATCACTCTGGCTGCACCTGCACCCCTCCTTCTTCCCACATTTCCTTGTTCCAACCATGTTCGCGATAGCCGATGCACCGTGCTCGCATTCATGTGGGTATCAGCTGCGATTTGACGTGAGGACCAACCGCCCTTCTCAGTCCGATCACCATACCCCTCATAAAATCGTCTATCTGCTGAAAGTGCCTTCGTTGATGGCAGCCTGGTATTCTCTCCTATTACACGTATCCTCCAGGACAAAAACCAACTTTCTTCGATAATTCATCTGGCAGAAATAATGACACGAATATTGCCCATTCTGCACGTTCCTTCCCTTATATCTTACTTCACGTGCGTCGGAGAGCTGCGCATTTCACATCATTCGCATAACTCAGTGACTTGCGTCTACTCTAAAATTTGCATAAATTTCTGACCACTCCTTCTAGGTGTTGCATTTTCAATGTCGAGCAGTGTATAAAGGCTAAGATTGGTAAAGCAGGAGATTTGTAGATGTACTGCCGGAAAACCGTAAGAAATGACGAAAAACTGGGAATGCCGGCAGCTACGAAATACTATTTTCATAATCTATATATCTAGCCATTTATGCTGCCAATCACTTAAACAGTTATTAAAAAGAAAAAATACATAATGATTTTAGTGAATCTAGTTAATATCATTTCACAGGTCCAGCTAGTCATTAAAAAAAAACTGAATGGAATCTAAGTTTAATGCTTTTAAATTACTTAATTTGATAATTAAGAAGAGAATAAATTTGAAAGAAAATTAAATACTTTATGCTTTGGTAGTGATAACAAATTGACACATGAAGACACAAATATTTTATATTTGCCAAATGGTAACACATTTCTTTCATATCCCCAAGTTTTTTTATTAAATTTTAAAAATAAATATCTTACACTCTGCAGAGTGGCAACACAGTTAAGATTTTAACCAAGTTTCTTATATTTGCATAAAATAGAAAATAAATAAAAAAAAAAAAAAAAGAAATTCAGAATTGAATTAGGAAATGCACATGTTAGGATGGAAGACTATTGTCAAAATTAGGTGGATCTAGGTGTCACCATTTTTCACAGTGCAAGACACACACACACCTACATACAGATTCTTCATTATTTAATGATAGAGATAAGCTTTTGCCCTAAAAATAATTCCTTTATGTATATGCTAACATTTGCACGCACTATTTTGAGGTCAAATTACTTAATAAACTATCTTTTCCTCTCTGGATTTACTACGTAAATGAGAGTTTCACACTTTTTGATAGTAATAATGAAGATTTATATGATTTTATCTATTATAAATTTGACTGATCCAGACATTCAGTTCACTTTTGAAACTGAATCTGGCAATACTTTTCTCTTCCTTGATATGCTTATAATTCGCAGTGAAACTGATTTCAGGATTTTTTCCCATGGTCATTGATAAAAGCCTTTAAAAAATAACCTTTAAAGCTTGACATAAAAGAAAACATTCCGTTATTAGAAATAGCATTAATTACCTCCAGAAAATCAATTTTCAAGTCATTTTCTTGCCTATAAATAAAATCCATGGTTCAAATCTTAACCTTCTAAAACCGGGTCGAAATTCTCATAATATAGCCTTCAGACCGGTGCGATTCAAAACAACTTTTGCCCTCTCTTTGACATTTTCCTAATGAGAAAAGTCGTTAGTCCCCTCTCCATGGATGCAGTAAAATTTACATGTTTGTCGGATGCTGTTCCATAGTAGATGGGTTGCTAGATTTGCGATTTTTTCAATGATTATTTTGCTTTCATTTAAATGAAGTTCTAGTTAGGAAAAATGTATGCAATGTTTATATTTCATTTATTATTTCTGATCGATCTCGGCAATAATTTGTGAATTTTATAACTTTGTTTTCACACTTCATTTATATTTGCATATTTTCGTATTAGAAATTAGAAAACGAAAACAAAATTTTACAACATATAATAAATACGAACTAGCTTTGTAAGTCTGCAGGTTGGAAAGCGATTTTTAATAACATAATTTCATTAACAAAATAATGGTAATGACTAATTTAATAAAATAATAATAATATATTCATTAATAATATCTATTACTATTATATGATTAAAATGAGATTCAATACAAT